GTGGAGACCCCCTCAATTCACAAACCCACGGAGATTTAACTCCGAGAATGAGTTGGTGTACAGTCAAAAGGAAAGACATAGAATTGGGCTTAGTGGATTAATGAACTCGCTGCGAGTTTAGTCTGATCCCTCCCTACGTTGTAGTTACGCTGCAGTGCACAATGGGCCGCCGCGTCGCACCCACAAAGCACACAGTCAGTTCACTTTACAGAGTGTTCTGGGAAGCGCTTTGAGACGTCCCGAAGATGTGATCAGGCGCTGTATCGAATACGAGGATTATTATTATTCTATGACTTGTCATAACTTCAGCCAACTTGAGAACTTATTCCAGCAGGGGTCAGTATAGAGCAATGAGTGGGAACCATTCTCTTACCAGTCCCCCCCACCCCCACCCCAACGTTCTCCCATCTCTCCAGTCCGGGTGGGGGGGGGCATTGAGACTCAGTTATAACTTCCCCTGTGCCTTACTCTTACCTTAGCACAGAGATGCAACTTCTTTCTTTCTAACCTACACCTCACATTCAGCGTTGCTTCCTTGGAGAGGAAATATCGACACGTAATTGTTGTTGCTGTAGTAATAATAATAATCTTGCACTTTATACAGTGTCCAAACTGTCTTAAAAGCCCTTTATAGATAAACTGCTGTCGAGTGTAGTGACTGTGTGGTGTGTAGGCAAACACGGCAGCCAATTTGCACCTGGTGTAAGGTCTGGCACTAACTTCCTAACCTTGCCCTCACCACAGGTTGAAGGTTTATTTCCCATGTGCATTTCCAAGTAATAAACGTATGGTACAGCTCTCTCGGGATGGATGGTGGAAGCAGAAAGTGTTGATTCTTTTCAAAAGCAAATTAGATAGATTTCTTTTAGGAAACAACATCTCAGGGATACAGGATATAGTTTGGTACACAACGTGGCAAGAGACTGCGAGGTTGGTGGAAGATGAACCTTGATCTTCCTTTGTTTAGAAAATTCCTACGTTATGTTCTTATCATTTCTGCAGCTCAACAGTGGCTTGTTGGAAAAGTTTGTTTGTTGAACCCTTCTCTAAATCCTTTTGGGTTTGGATTGATTCGGATGGCTCTTATCAAAGTGCCGGCACAGACACAATAAGCCGAATGGCCTCCTTCTGCGCTGTGTGATTCTATGATCTCTTCCCCCTTTCCCAAGCACCATGTCCCAATATTGCAACCCAAAATGCCAACAGGTGTGAGATTTCTCTATGGAAAGAATCTATCCATTTGGCAATTAACGAAAACTGCCGGGAAAATCCCATCTAGAATCGTAGAATCCTGCAGCTCAGAAGGAGGCCATTCAGCCCATCGTGCCTGTGCCCTCTCTTTGAAAGAGCTACCAACTAGTCGCGTCCCCCCCGCTCTTTACCCCATAACCTTGCGAAGGTTTCCTTTTTGAGTACCTATCCAATTACCTTTTGGAAGCCGCTTCTTTTCTTCTCTCTCCCCCCCCCATCCACCCACACATGTTTTGCTTCACACCAACTTGATGATGTGAAGCTCATCACTCCCAACAAATGCTCTGCAGCTGTTTGTATTGTCCGTCGGGCAAATTGATGGACCGACCAGTCCCGAAGCCTTGTGTTTCTGTTGGCTGGGGAAGCTGTCTTTCACCGCGCAAGTCTCGCGTGCGTTTGATGGGCTTAAACAACAACCGGGAAAAAAAAATGTGGTCACTCAATCCACCGCTGTTTGTGGGACGCTGCTGTCCGCAATCGTCTGCCGCATTTTGTCCACAAAATACACAGTCAATCCACTTTATTCTGGACGACGTGATAAGGCAATATATTAAAATTGCAAGGATTCTTCTTCTTAGAATTCTGTGAAGCTCTTTGCGATGTCTCAAGGACGTGATAAGGCGCTATATCAAATCATCACCCCATTTATACTAATTATTATCTCCCTCTCTCTGGTATTCCCAGTTTACCCAGGAATGCGTTAAGAGTACACAACTTGTATCTTGCTCCGTTGCTCCACTCTTTTTTCACCCCCCCCCCCCCCCCCCAAAAGTGTGCGTTGGAATTTCTAACCTACAGCTGTAAGTTGCATTACTTGACGCCATTTGTGTGGCTTCCTGTTAATTCTTCCTTTTCTCTTGTTTGTTGTTTTTTCTCTTTGTTCCCGCCCGTCCGTCCATTCCAGACAGAGGGAACCAAACTGCTCTGGAACTCTTTTATTTTGTGTGCGTGTGTTGCTATTTAAAAAAGAAATAGCCTTTTTCTTTCCCCCACCCCCCACCCCACAAACTTCTGTGTGAAACTCCCCCCACACATCCCCCGTCTCCCTTCATGACACCCATTCTTGCATTTAATACAGCCCCTTATCACGTCATTGAGAGCTCTCAAAGCACTTCACGGAATGTATTGTAAAGTAGAATTGACTGTATATTTTATGGGCGTAACACGGCAGCCAATCGCGCACAGCAGCTTCCCCAGAACCAGTGATGGATTGAGCGATCGCGATGGCTATGTATTCCTCTTATTGCGGCGATTGCTACAGATCATTAGCTGGCAGGACAGAGCACAAACATGTTTTGGGGTTGCTTTGGGAGCGATCAAGTGGCCTTCATACAATCTTCCTCCACTACTCATGCTCTTCAAGCCAGTGTATCTCTGGCCGCCTGCTTAATCCATTTGACTTAGAAACCATGGCTGACATGTGGACTGAGACTTGGACGTATATCCACACCAACGATGTGGGGGATTGTTTGGCACACGTGGAGACCCGTCACTGTGCTTAAGAGTCTTCCAACCAAACTAAGTGTCCCATCCATCCCACCCACCCGCACACGGAAATTCCTGTGTATTGAAATGGAATGGAATGCGCACTCTCTCCCTGGAGGGACACTTCTACCTTTCTCATTCCAGAGTGTGTGAGGCGTAGGCTGGCGTGAGCAAAGGATAATAGCATGTGTTTGTATTGCGTTTCTTTGCTCAAGTTTTCTCCCCATTTTAAAAAATAATAATAATAATCCTTGCATTTGACACAGCGCCTTATCACATCTTCGAGACGTCTCAAAGCGCTTTACAGAATATACTGTAACATGAATTGACAGTGTGAAGCGCTTTGCGATGTCTCGAAGATGTGATAAGGCACTGTATCAAATGCAAGGACTATTATATTCCGAACGGTAATGGTGATGCTATTCCATTGGGGCAGACAATGTTGAGTGGCGGCATTTAAAGTCATTTAAATCTTAGGATCGAGTTCAATGAATCAAAGCCCCTGTATCTCTCGCTGTAAATCTCTGGCCCATCGCCAAGATTTAGAATAAGCAAACTTTTTGACTGGTGACCGTATTGACTGTGGATTCTTATTTGGGATGAAACCAAGCCTTTGCACGCGCGAAAGAGAGAGGAATAAATAAGGTTCACGGACCAAAAGAAATTGTCTCCCTGGATTAAGGACTATATTAATGAGTGCATTGATTTACGACCAAATCACTTAACGTTATGGAGTCTAGCTTGAGATGAGCGATAACATGGGTTCCCGCTCTGAACGCTGCTCAAACACACCAGCTCAGCAGTGTAGGCCGAGCCCTCCTCTCTCTCTAACCCCCCCCACCCCCATTTTATCGCGTCCTGTGGCTCAGTGATTAGATGCTCGTCTCAGGCAAGAAGACCTGGGTTTGATTCCCGGGCAGGACGAAACCTTAGCCAAGCTTCCTTACGTTTCCTTACTCACATGCCTCTGTTTACTCAGCAGTAAGTAGGAACCCAGTTGTTAGTCGATCAGCGGGTTAATCCCTCGGGGGGGGGGGGGGAAATTTAGTCGCTCAATCCACGATTGTTCGTGGGATGCTGTTGCGCGCAATCACTTTGCAATATAATCCTATAGGTGTCCCAACAACGTGATAAGGCGTTATATCAGATGGATGGTTTATTATTAGGTGAAATTTTGGCCTGGGGGGGGGCGGTGGGGATGGGTTGCTGATGTGGGAAATGGAACATGCCACATTAGTAACAAACCCATTTGACGTGCTTACTCTTTCTCTCCACCCCCACCCCCCCCCACCCACCATCTTCCCCCTTCGCTGTTTCTCAGTGGTTTGCTCTGTGATCTTGTCTGGCTGTTATCAGTTGAAGCTCTCTGTCTGTGCATCTCCTGAGCTGTAGGACTGGATAAGCTCCAGTAACTGAGACCAACCGCTGGCTAAGTGTAGTCTGTGGGTTTGAGATTCTTAGCCCTGACCACAAAGCTTGGCTCACTTGGCGTCTGACTGGAGGGGCCGGAAGTGAAGCAAAGATTTTTTTCGGGGGGGAGGGGAAGGGAAGAGAGGGAGAGAGAGAGCAAGTCCCAGTGTCTCACCATTAACACTCGGCGAATTCAAAAATTACTTTTTCTTTAATCTAAATTTTGCAAACGAGGCAATTGAGAAGTGTGTGGAAGGGTATCTTTGACCGACTGAGCTGGCAGTCTCAAGACGTTCTTTTTGGGTCAAAAAGGGGCGAAACTGCTGTGCGCCGTTGGCTGCTGCGTTTCGCCCAGAAAATAAAGACCATCCACTTTACAGTATATTCTGTGAAGCAGTTTGAGACGTCTGGAAGACGTGATGTCAAATGATTGGTATACAGTCATTGAAGGAGGAAGAGCAGAGGCAAATGGGATCCAACACGTTTGACACCAGTTGTGTGGTTCAGTGTTGAGCTGCTTGTGAAAGCCCTTTTGTTAACTAAACACTGTTTATATGAGTTGCACTCTGCTATCAGTCGTGCTTCCTATGTCAGAAACAGAGCAGGGACTTGAGAAGAAACAGTAATTTTCTTTACACACACACACACACACACACACACAGACAGACAGACACACACACAGACAGACAGACAGACAGACAGAGGACTGAAACTGTGCTCCTTGCTTCATTTTGGTTGGGGGAAAAAATTAATGATAACAATTTGGTCACGCAATCCATGACTGATTGTGGGGACACTGCTGTGCGAAATTGGCTGCTGGGTTTCGCCCACAAAACACAGTCAATCACTTTACAGTGTGTTCTGTGAAGCGCTTTGAGACATCTCAATAACGCGATTTAGACATAAAACTCACACGCTATTTTAATTTCAAATGAATCGTTTGGGATTGAGCCCAAAAGGTGTGTGTGTATGGGGCAGAAATTCCAGCTCGGGTCTAGGCTGACTTATCAATAAGATTTGGCCTGAGTGAGCGAGCGAGTGAGCAAGAGGGTGGGTGGGTGTTCAGGGCAGATCACAGCGATTGCACTAAGAACAGAGGATGTCGTAACTTGTAGTGTGAAGTACGTGGGTTACACTTAATGCTTCCATTGAAACACCTCCACACACACACAAATGCACACACACATACAAACAGAGTGCGAGAGAGAGAGAGAGACAGCAAGAGTGAAAGCAAGAGATAGACGAGAGAGGTTTCAGTGTGCAAAGGTGACTAATGGTGTGAGTTCGGTTCAGGACGCCTCCTTCGCTTGTTCTGTAAGTTCCAGAATCTTTTTATTTTCTCCGCAAACCATCTGGTCTCTCTCAGAGCAGAGTTTCTTAATTCTGATTTTTGGTATCGAGGTGCTCTTAACGGTTGTTGTACGCAGTTCTGCTCTGATGTTTTCTATCGAGATGGGGCGGGGGGAGGAGAGAGAGAGAGAGAGAGAGAGAAAGGGTGGGAGGGAGTTGTGGCTGGCTCTGTCTGAGTTTCTAAAGATGTTAAAACCCGCCTGCCCGCCCGCCTGTGTTTGGGATGGGGGTGTGAAAGGCGGTGATCATAGCAAGAGTTAATAATTAATAATCCATGCGTTTGATATTGTGCCGAACTGCGTCATTCAGACGTCTCAAATGCGAAGAATCGATGTAAAGTGCAGCGACTGTGGAAGGTGTTTCGCCCACGAAACACACGGTGGCCGCACTTTGCAGCGCTTCCTGTGAAGCGCTTCGAGACGTCTCAACGACGTGATCAGATGCTGTACCAACTGTGAGGATTATTATTGTTGTCGTTATTTTTGAGGCCAACGCGGCAGCTATTTTGCACGCAGCCACCAACCCGCAAACGGCCGTTGAGTGAGCCTCCTCGTCCCGTTTACCCCCCAAAAATAATTCACCATCCTCGATCCGTAACGATGTATTGACGGCGTGGGACGCTCTGTGAGATCGCTCCATGATGTGAACAGGTTTGCTGACAACAGTGTCTCTCTCTCTCTCTGTCTCTGCAGGTGCTCCACTTCCCCTCCCCCTCACCCCTCCCCAAACACCCACTCAACTGATGAGTTGGACGGACTTGCTGGGTCAGAGGTGAGAGTGAAAGAGAGAGAGAGAGAAAGAGAGAGAGAACGAGAGAGAGAGAGAGAGTGAGAGAAAGAAAATGGGTACGATGAAGCTACAGAACCCGAGCCACCCCTCAGGGCTCCTCCACAAGGCCAACCAGATGCGTCTATTGGGAACGTTGTGTGATGTGGTCATTTTGGTGGACAGCCAAGAGTTCCACGCTCACCGGACAGTGCTGGCCTGCACCAGCAAGATGTTCGAGATACTTTTCCACCGCAACAGCCAGCACTACACCCTGGACTTTCTCTCGCCAAAGACCTTCCAGCAGATCCTAGAGTATGCCTACACGTCCACCCTCCAGGCCAAGGTGGAGGACCTGGATGACCTCCTGTACGCAGCGGAGATCCTGGAGATCGAATACCTGGAGGAGCAGTGCCTGAAGATCCTGGAGACCATCCAAGCGTCCGAGGCCGAGACGGAGGGAACGGTGACCGAGATCCCGGAGGAGGAGGACGTGGGGAAGGGGAGGTACAACCGCAACCTGTTGATGGCCAAACCGCTTGCTGGCCCACCTGGCTACGTCGCCGCGGGCAACCTGACTCTCCCGGGAGCCACGTTGGAAGAGCAAAGCCCCTCCGTGTCCACCTCCTTTGGGCTCTCGGCCTTGAGCCCCACCAAGGCAGCTGTCGACAGCCTCATGAGCATCGGCCAGACTCTGATGCAGGGGTCTTTGAAGCAAAGCTCCAAGACTGGGGGGTTCCGGGTGGGGGTGGGCAAGGAGCCCGTCTGATCGAAGTCAAGCACGAGGTGATGCAAGTGGACGAATCGCCCGACCCCCATAGCCCCCAGGGAGGGGGGGACAAGGCGGGGGAGGGCGACCGAGGCAGGGATGGACCTGGGACCCCCACCCGAAGCAGCGTGATCACGAGTGCCCGCGAGCTCCATTATGTTCGCGACGACGCCTTGGGTGAGGGGTCGGGGGAGGTGGGGGTGGAGGAGCAGGCCACGGGGGGCGTCGGGGGCGAGAGGCGTCTGGCGCTATATCCCGTGGCCCCCCGCGGCCGGGCCGAGGCCATGCTGGGGATCGCCCCCTCTCTCTCCTCCACCCTCCATGTGCAGCCTGGGCTCTCCGTGGCCATGGACTTTGGGGCCTACGGGAGCCTCCTGCCCCAGGGCTTCATCCAGAGGGAGCTGTTCAGCAAGCTGGGCCAGCTGGCCGCCGGCATGAAGAGTGAGAGCAAAGCCACCAGCGAGAGGTGTAACGTCTGCAGCCTCGAGCTCCCCGACAACGAGGCCATCGAACAGCACAGGTAAGGCCGTCTCTGCTACACACTCACCCTCACCTCATCTCCCTCCCTCCCCTACCTCCCTCTCCCCACTCCCTCCCTCCCTCCTCTTCTCCATCCCTCTCCTGTCCTCTCCTCCCTCCCTCCTCTTTCTTCTTCTCCTTCCTCTCCTCTCTCTCCTCCTCCCATTCCGTCCCTCTCCTGTCCTCTCCTCCCTCCCTCCTCTTTCTTCTTCTCCTCCCTCTCCTTCCTTTCCTCTCTCTCCTCCTCCCACTCCGTCCCTCTCCTGTCCTCTTCTCCATCCCTACTCCCCTCACCCCCCTCCTCAATTCTTCCCTCCCCCCACCCCCCGCCAGGGATTAAACCAGCTCCTCTAGTCCGTCGATGGGACAACAACAACTTGCCTTTGCACGGTGCCTTTCACGTTGGGAGGGCGTCCCAAGGCGTTGGGTTAGGGTCGGGTCAGCGAGACTTGGCCTTCCCCCTGTCTTGAGATCGCCGCAGACGATGGGTTTGTTTGCCCAGCCAGCCCTACCCGAGGGGTCTTCCGATGCCACCCCCGGCCCTCCCCGCCCAACATCCCCTCCCCATCTGTCTTTATTTCTCTCCATGTTGTGCACAATATCCTAGTGAGTCCGGGGTGTGTTTGAGGTGTGAAAACCAGGGACACCTCACTGGCTCTGACTGCTGCTCCCTTTATAGTGCGCAAATCCAATTTCGTGTAGGAATTGGCGCAGTTGCGTTGCATCATTTCGGGACGGGGATGGGGGCCGGTTTGTATCCATTTTGTTTTGGGGTGGGGGGGTGGAGGGTTTATTGCTCTGGCCCGAACTGTCTCAGCCTAAACCCTGAGTCTTGGCAAGTCATTCGCCCATTAACGGGGAGAATCAGAGACTAGAACAACATGGGGAGTTGGAGGGCATCATGTCTCTTGGTCCAGAACAAGCGGGGACATCATCATCATCATCTCAACATGACAGCCAGGCTGTACAGGACTGCAATCGGGAAGCATTTTTTTTTCACTCAAAAAAACTAATGGGAATCTGGAACCCTCTCCCTCCCCCGAAAAGGCTGTGGGTTATGGCCGGATCCATTCACATTTTCCCGTCGGATGAGGCGGCGAGATGTTTGTCAGGTCAGGGTATCGAGGGATGTGGGGCAAAGGCTGATGGTTCGAGTTGAGGTGCCTTGATCTGATAGAACGGCGGAACAGACTCGAGGGGCTGAATGGCCTCCACCTCTTCCTCGGTATTAATACATCATCCCTCAGCACACACTCGGCAAGTGTGTAAACCCACACTTTTCTACACCTATTGAGGTGGGAGACGAGATTTAAGACACTGGTTGACTTTGAACGAGGAACATAAGGTTAGACACGCGGTCGGTGATTTAATACGTGTGTTCGTACTGTGTTGTGGGGGGGGAGGCAGTTGTAAACTTCAGTCAATTCATTTGTTTTCATTTCAAAGAAAAGAAACTTCCTGTTTCCTGTTGACACCTTCCCCCCCACTTCTCTCTCTCTCTCTTTCTCCCCATCCCCCCCAATCTTCGCACAATTAGACCAGTGTTTGGTAATTAAAGCGACATTCTGTCGTCTTGATTTAAAAGGTCGTTCGAGCGTGAATGAATAGAATGATAACCCTTGCGTGTTGATATAGCGCCTCATCGCGTCTTTGTGACGTCTCAAAGCGCTTCACAGAAAATGAAACTGTAAAGCGGAGTGACTGTATATTTTGTGGGCGAAACGCGGCAGCCAATTGCGCTCAGCGGTTGCTTAGAATATACGCGAAGCCCTTTGAGAAGTCCCACTGACGTGATGAGGCACTATATCCACCGCAAGGGTTATTATTGTATTCATTCATGCCGGCCAAACAGGAGGAGAGAGAGAGAGAGAGAGAGAATCAGGGACACAACACATCAGTACATGGTGCAATGCTAACAGCTCGAGTCAGCATTGTGTAAAGAAATCCGTATCATTAAAATGAAAACCCCCAATTCACGGTGACTGCTGTCTTGGGAACCACACGCTCACCGCACACCCCCCCACACCTCTCTTTAGCTTGCTCTTGAGCTGTGATAGCTGATAATTTCCAGATTGAAACTTGCGTTCGTTCGTTCCTCAGAGAGTTTCAGTCTACGTTTCCTTCCTCCTCCCTCTTTCTCTCTCTCTCTCTCTATATATATATATATGTTCACCTCCTCTCTCTCTCTCGCTCTCTCTGTAGCTTATTAGCAGCACCTGGCAAAGTAACAGGCTAATGGAAACCAGTGTTTAGTTGTTGAAGGCCCTGTGATGGGCTGATTTTTGTCAGTCAGGCCATAGGATGCCGGGTAGTCAACCCCATTAGCCTTATTGCTCTAAAGATCGCAGCCTGTTCAGGAAATCAGAGCTTCAGTTAGGTACAATGTCTTGACCTCTCTCTCTAACCTCGCTTTACTGAAAAGACCTCTGTCAACACGCCTGGGAGTTTCAACCCTGACTCTGTTTCTCATCTCAATTTTTTTTTTGTGTGTGTGAGGTTAACAAACACAAACGACTACAGATTGACTTTAGCATTTTTCAATTTTCTGTTTCTTTTTCTCAAAGAAAAGTTTGTAAAGGAACACTGAGGTTTATTTATTCCTCCGCGAGTCTGGGCTTGTCAAAAATACGCGTTATAAGGCGCTATATCAAATGTAAGAATTATTATTATGGTTATATTTCCCAACGGCTCTGAGGTTTAGGGTCAAATTGGATTAAGGGGCAAAGTGATTTCCTAGCTTTTTATTTCCCATTTCGCTCTTTCCTCAGACAGCGCTGAATTATTAACTCGGTTATTATTTGATACAACCTTTCCCCCCCTGAAATAGGAAGACTTGTTACTCTCAAGAGTAGTGACTGTATTTTGGAGGCAGCCAATTATATGTGTACAGACACACACATTCAGGAACAACCAGTTTAAACTTCTGTTAATTTTGAAGCTGTTTTTTTTTAACCACTGACTTAGTTCCTTTGTCAACTTGTACCTATTTTTAACTGGGGGTGAGGGGGTGTGGGGGGTTGTTAAGTGCTCTGAGACGCTACCCCACGTGAAGGGTGCTATATAAATGCACGTTGTTGTTCTAGTATATATTACAGTGACCCCCAGTCCCCAACGCACTGAAGCCCGTTAATTGGTTTGAGTTTTGCTCATACATTCTGCTGTTACTTGCCAGGCACCTTTTAAAGAGACTTTTGACGCCGTAAGTTAGCACTAACCAGTAGCAATTAGTGAAGATTTAATCACAGATTCACCTTCTTTCCATGTGCTCAAAATCACTAGACGATAAATAAATAATCGGGTCAATAATCGAGTGCAATACAAAATCCCATTTGTATAGCGCCTTTCACGTCGGCACGATGTCCCAAGGCGCTGAGTAAGATTTTTAACTCCTTTTTTTATGTCAAAGAGTTGTAAACAAACACTTTTTAAAGTGTAAGGCAGGATTGTGACAATGAGAAGGAAAAGTTCTTAAAAAAATCTGTTAAAATATATTAACAAAACTCTTTACCACACGCTCACCCCCCCCTCCCCCCCCTAAATCAAGAAAAACCTCCACAGATTTTAAGTGAAATGGCATTTGTTTGGAAATAATCCCCTCAAATAAAATGAATAAAAAATAATAATTGGGTCACTCAATCCGCCACTGTTTGCGAGACACTAACTCCAAAATAATTTGCATCCGCATTTCTCCCACGAAACGTACAGTCACTCCAGTTTACAGCGCACGCATTCTGCGAAGCGCTTTGAGACGTCTAGAAGACGTGCTGAGGCGCTGTACCAAGTGCAAGGATTATCTTTATGATTATTTTGTTTCAAAAAAAGATTTGTTTGCAAAGTTAACTAATTTCGGGTAACGTAGAAACAAGGAGGTGGGGTTGGGGTTGGGGGGGGGGGGGGGGGCGGTGAGAGAGAGGAGGTTAGGAATTAAATTCAGGTGGACGTTTGGAATCTCTTACATATGGAATTATTTTGGATGCCAAATTAGAGAACCTTTACCACTCACCCTTTGCGGATGGGGCTTGCGTTCACGGGTGGGGGGGGGGGGGGCACAAGGTGAAGAGTTGCCCCCTACGTTTACAAATGTTTCAAATATTTGTCCTCCCGAGTTAATTTTAGTGGAAGTCAGATCATGTTAACTCTGTGTAATTGCTTCCAGATCTCACACAGGCTTATGTGTGTTAGAATGAAGGGTTTGGTAAGTGCCTTCTTCCTGTGTAAAGTTGGGTCTTTCTATTCATTCCTGGCTTGCTCTGGATTCTGTCATGCTTTCCAAAACATTTTGTGGGTGGGGGGGTGTGGGGTGCGAAACGTGTTTGGAAAAGTAGGACAGAAATAAAACGTTTTTAATTTTCTTGAAAATCAATGATAATGTTTATGGTCTCCAGAGTGTGTGTGTGTGTATCTAATAAAAGATATAAATTTTGAATTGGATACAGCGCCTTATCACGTCTTCGAGACGTCTCAAAGCGCTTCACAGGATGTGTTGTAAAGTGAATTGACTGTATATTTTGTGGGCTGTATGTATGAACATATTATATATTTCTATTGCAATGAGTTCCACTCGTATAGATATCCAACGATCTCCTATGTGAAAACACACACATTCTATGTGCAATAATAATTCTTGGATTTGATATAGAGCCTTATCACACTGAGACATCTGAAAGCGCGTTAGAGAGAACTATATATTGTAAAGTGATTGACTATTTTGCGGGCAAAACCGTTGCAGTCTCTCTCTCTCTGAGACTGATAGATTTTTTAAAAATAGAGGGATTAGGGGATATGGGAATAGGGCAGGTAATTAGAGTTAGGTCTGAAGATCAGCCATGATCTTATCGAATGGCGGAGCACAGGCTCGAGGAGCCGAATGGCCTATTCCTGCTCCTAATTCTTATGTTCTTATGTTTTTATGTTCTCTCTTTTTCGCATCGTACTCCTTGCCCCCCATCCCCGGGGTTCAGAAGCCTAGAGGGTTCCGTGATCAGTTGATTTCAACTTGTT